TGGGCCTGGCTGAGCGGCGGGGCCCCCTCAGCACACGGGCCCGCTGAGGAGGGGTGTTGCGGTGTCAGCGTCGGGATAAATCGCGACAGTGGGGATAGATCGAAGGGAAAACCGCCTCCGTAGGTCGGCCTCGGCCGCATCTCCGGGCTGGTGCTTCGTCCCGGCAGCGGGAACCGGCAAAGGTCCCTTTGCAGCCCGGCCCCCCGCCTTGCGGCCTTTCCTCGCCTATCCGAGTCTGCGTCCCCCTCAGAGGCCTGCGCGGCCCTGCCCGCCTTTTTTCAACCCGTAAAACTGCTTGGTTTTACCTGGTGTGGGGCGGCTGCTCTGTTACAGCGGGATAAAGAAGGTGAGGAAGGCGGGCAGTGTTTCCTGAAATAGGAGGGACGGAGAGGAATACACCTTTCACTTGAATTTCTTGAAGTTTGGGTGCTTGAGGTTGTCCTGTAGGGAGAAGAAGCAGGAAGAGGTCAGGACTAACATATTTTAAAACTAGTTAGGAATAACGTTTTCTAAAACAAGCCTTGCTTTGTAAAGATGAATTGCTCAGCGCTGCGTAACCCCAGGCCTTGGGTGTCGGCCCTGGCAGCGTGCCTTTTCTCCTCTCTTTCACCCGTTTCAGGTTGCTGAGCCCTGTGGCAGGGGTTTATGGACCCTCTCCCCACCTCAGTGCCCACCGCAGGCAGCAGAAGGCACTAGATGGCACTGATCTTCACGCTAACAGGCTTGCAGGCTCCTGGCTGGCACTTACACCAAGTCACAGTGACAGGGAGAGCTGACGCAGGCTCATCGGGTGCTCCGTGTGCCCCTCTGTCTGTGGGAAATGGGGGGAGTTGAGCACCAGGACAGCCGTACAGGAGAAACAAGTGAGCTCTGTAAGTTGCCTGGTTTTAAAACCTGCCTTTTGGGGAAGGCTTAATACAATGGCTTTCCATAGTCGCTCCATCTATAGCCCCTAAACTTTTCCTAATGGTGCAGCAGACCCTAGAGTCTCTTAGCAATAGTCTAGCTTCTGCTAGTTACCTTTTTCAGGCTCTGTAGAGTCATATTTTTCTCCCCAGTTGTGCAGGCCACAAGCTGAAAGTCACAATTGCACCAGGAAGCCCAGTCCTAATCCTGCAAGTCTGATGTGATGAATGGAATTGATCTTTGAAGAGCTGCAGTTACTAGAGAGGCCCTTGCAGGTTCCTCCATGAGGAATGCAGTGCCATATAGAAAACAGGAGGTCACGAAGAAAGCGATACTGGCTCATGAAGACCAGCAAAGGGCTATATACTCTGGCATAAAAGACAAGTTATGCATAAACTGCAGTGAGTGTAGGAACGAGTGACTTGTACGACTGTTGCCCATCCACTTCATGTCTAGCTGATCCCATCTATCTCAGCGCTACGCTAATGTATCCGCCACAGCACTGCCTAGGCACCAAATACCACATTAAATAATTCATCATCATAAATCACAGCCCCTCTAAGCAGGAGAGCTTCTGGATGATGCGAGATTGCAGCTCTTAGGCTTGCGTAGCCAGTAGAGGAGGGGGGTGTCAGATGCTTAGGTGGCCGGGTTGCAGGGGCTGTATCCTGGCCTTGCTGGGAGGGTATACCCCAAATCGTCTTTGGGGAGTGCAGGCTTTTCTGTCTCTTTTGTCTTTGAAGGACTCAAGTGAATTTGATCAACCCTAAAGCTGCCTCGAGATATCAGCTTTTCCTTCTGCCTCCACCATAGTACAAGAACAAGGACAATTTGGTAGAGAGACTAGCAAGTCAGCGTGTAACCAAAGACAAAAAACTCCAGATGAGCACAATTTCTTTGTCCAAGGCATTGGGGATTTTTTTAGAAGTTGGGTCACAGGAGAACAAGTTTCCTCGTGATGAATAGTTTGGTACATCAACACCTCTTAGAGGGGACTCAGAAACACCCTGAGAAATCTCAGCCGTCTGCCTCAGGGCACAGACGCAATTGCTGCAGGGACCAGGGAGAAATCTGTCCTTCAGGGGAATATGTTGGTTTTCCTTGGAAGCATCGGGCGGCATCTGTGCCAGAGGCGAGATACCTGACTAGGTGGGCCAATGGCTTGATGAGAAACAGCGAAGCTTATGGTCCTGCTGAGATCCAGAATTGTATCTGAGGACTCTCCACAGGAAAGAGGAGAGAGAAATTGAGTCTCTGTGAAGCAGACAGGTTCCTTACAGCTGCGTGAAAGAGTTTTGCTCTGGCTTTCGTCTGCCAGATCGAGGTCCTGGGTACTTACGCTGTGCTAAGGAGGCAGGGACAGCCTAAATTCCTTGGGTTGCTGCTCTGAGGCACTTGCTGCAGCCCCACAGGCTGTCCCAGCCACCACGCCAGAGAGGCATCCTGTCCTTTCCTTCCTATGCCCACACGTTCCTCCAGCTCTGAGAGGAGTCTGAAGTCAGTGCAACTCCCAGCGCTGCGTGTTAAACTCCCAGTTACCCTGTTTTTCAAATCATTTTTATGCAACATTTGTAGCTCAGCTGTAAATATTTGCTTTCTGTCTGGAAAAGCATCTCTTTGCCCCCACATGTGTAGAGCTAAGGTGGAACTCCTGTTGTGTGCCCCAATTGCAAGAGCATCACTGTCTCAATGAACAGAGCTGTACCTGTCTCGTGGCGGAGAGGGCACTTAGGATTTTGGCACCTGGGCACACTTCTAACCCTTTGGATGCAGGGAGCAAACTGGGGGCCAGGCAACCTGTCCTGGCACATGGGTGCCTCTTGAGTTAGTCTGCTAGTGTTTGAGCCTGTAGTCCTTGGAAAAAACAAGCTCTTGAGTATGAGTGGTGCTAATAATGTTAATAAATACTTCCTTGCAAGGCCTCACAGTAGGAGAGACTGAGGCCAGTAGCTGCTGTTGGGAAGAGGGAGGAGGGTGCTGGGTCTAGCAAGCAGGAGAGCAGGCAGGGTGTCTCATCCATGCCACTAGCTGCCCGAGTGACGCGTGTCAAATCACTTACACATTTTTGTTCCACACCAAGGGAACACCTTATTTTAATCACCAGCAAGACTCCCTGCTCTGGTTATGGATTGTGAGATGCTGGGAAGTGAGCAAGACAATATCAGTCTGACATCCCCCTTGTTGATGTGATGTTGCTGCATCCCACCTACCCTTCTGCGATAGCTGGTGCATGGGGAGCCTGCCCTTGAATTGTGCTGCAGGTCCAGGTGATCTCTTCCGCAGAAATCAGTCTTATGTTTCCCTTCTCGACTGCTGAGTCAACTCCCCGTGGCGGCCGTACCTGCAGGAGGAGGAGCGGGACTGCTAGGGAGATGTTACTGGCCAAGGGGAAACGCGAGGCGTCATAAAACCCCTGGAGCGGCTAAGGATTTGGCCACAGGCAGGATGTGAAGAGATCAGCGCTCGTCTTAGCCTGGCTCCACACTTAACCTTGAAACCTCTCTCTGCTGCCGAGAGAGGAAGCGGTTGGGGGCTGTCTGGGCACATCAGGCTCCACAGTGGCTACGCTGAGCCTGGGGAAAGGTCAGAGGCTCAGCAGCCCTCTGACAGCTAGGCCATTAATTATGTGACTTGTTGGTTTTGGAGGGGATCCCAAACCAGGCTTCTCAGGAAGCGTTAGCTGGTAAAGCTCTTTTCAGGCGCCTGAGCCAAAAGCAGCAGGAGGATTAGAGGCTGGCTGCTGGCGTTGTGGGGTTCGTTACACGTGGGGCTCAGCAGCCTCAGGCTTGCTGATGGGCTTCCCAGGCACACCCTAAGCGTGTGAATTTGGGTTTGCAGCTCCTTTTGTTTCTGAGGTAGGATAAGATTTCCCTGCTGACAGGCAGCATTCCTCCCTGGGGATTTTTTGACTGTCCCTCTCATTGCTGTCTAGCCGCAGGCTGGTGGCAGGACCTGAGATCACACCAACCTGAACAGTCACTCCGAGCTTCTTTCCAGCACAGTTCCTGAAGCCGCAGCTTTCTTTGGGCTCCTCTTCTCTCCTGTGAAGAGGAAGGATGCACAGGCACTGTAGTAACTGGGGAGAGCTTTCTGAGGTTTGTAATATTGCAACTTTCCCTCCTCTGTGAGGGTGCTCTTGGTCACACTGCCGCACCACAGAGATGGCCCAGCTGGACCCACGAGCCCTCCCAGTTACTTTGCTGAAGCTGAGCACAGTAGTTTATTCTTCACCCTAGGGCTGGTGTTCATTACCTCAGAGAGCCTTACAGCATCTCTTCTTTCCCCATTTGTGGCAGGTCCAGGCAGATGGGACAGATGGGAACTGCGTCACGTTTGTGTTGCACGATGAGGACCACACACTTGGCAACTCGCTCCGATATATGGTCATGAAGAAGTAAGTGGAGCCTCTGTGGTGCCTGGCATCGCTGCATCTGTCTCCTACTCTGACTTTCTGCTTACCAATCTGCATCTCAGTTGTTGCTGGAAGAAGGCAAATGATCAGAAACTACCTCTGTGCACACCTGTTAGAGTCTTTATATCAGACATGGTGCCAAAGACTCCTTACCTACTACCTCTCTTCACAGGATTGACTTTTTTGTTGTGCTGTTAGTGTCAGGACCCTGAGAGCACTGATAGACCTTAATGGACCTGACCAGCCACACTTGGGGCCTCCACCCACACACTGCTCGTGGGCCCAGGAGCCCCATTTAAGCTCAGCTCAGGGCTTTCAGTCCTTCCTGAGCTATGTTGTATGAGCATGGATCTCCAGCTCAGCCTGTACTGGGCTGTGGACTCCCTTCACCTGGATGCTGGCTCAGGGACTGGCTTCCTCATCATTTTACACCTGCTTGGTGATCACTGGGTAGTGTCTGACCCTCATTACCGTCACCTGACCTGACACTGACCATAAGATTGACTTTCTGGCCTGACCTCGGACCTGCTTCATCCCCACAAACCTGCCTGATGACCTGGGCCCTTGGCTGACCCTGGCTACCACCTTTGCACCCACCCTACTCCCTTGCTTGGGTGCTGTGGGACAGGGCTAGCTGGTGAGGCCTCTGCCCTGTCAGCTGTTTTACTGTTTGTGGCTCCCAGCTCCCCATCCCTTAGGGAACAGCCAGCCGTCACTGCTCCTTGATGGTTAGTTATGGAGGAAACTTGATGTCAGACATGTGAAAGACTTCTGAATGTCTTGTTTGGGCCTGGGTAAAATGATGCACAACTCCATGTAAGTACACATAGTCAGGCAGTATCTATGTCTTCTTCTGTGGCAAGTGCTGTCAGAAAAGAGGGTAGAAACAGCCAATATTAAGTAAGTTGATCATCTTTCATGCTTGTGTGGAGATGCAGGAATTGATGCTGGGAATTAATTATCCTGCTTCCCCCATCAAAATATACAAACAGATTCACCTTGGTTGCCCAGTTTTATCAAACTGGGCAGCACTGAGGGTTTGTGAAGATCTATGGGTAAGCCTCAGAAGAATTACAGCAGAAAGTCCAATGTGTCATCTCAAGTGACAGTTGCATTGCAAATGTCATGTGAATTCCTCTGATAAATCACTATGACAAGAAGAAAAGGAGGCTTCTTGCAAGGGACTGTTCTTTCTGCTGGGTGCACAAACTGTCTACCCACCACCTCAGCTTATGAAGGCAGATGCTGTGCAGCCTGCAAACCATCTTGGTGAATCCTTGCAGTGCCCTAGACCCATCAGCCTCTTTTACCCAGCAGAACTGCAACAGCTTTGTGTACAGTGAGGTTTCCAGCCATCCAGGGTCCCCTGTTTGAACTCTACAGGCCAGCCAATGGACCACTGGTGGTGCCAGGATGGTGCCTACGACTGTGCCAGCCATGTCCTTCCCCTGCAAAGCTCCAGCTGCAGCTCAGAGATAGATGGGGGCATGTGAATAAGGTTACACAGGTAGTTTCCCTTCAGCATATCCCTCCCATAAGATCCTCAGTCATTTTAGAAACATCCTGAGCCCCAGCAGGTCTGGGATGGCCTGTGCATCTGACTTTCCTGAGATTTGCTGTGGATTGATCTGGATTTCACTGCTCTGTTCTTCTCTCTCCCCTCCTGCAGCCCTGATGTGGAGTTCTGTGGCTACTGCATCACACACCCCTCTGAAAGCAAGATCAACTTCCGGATCCAGACCAGAGGTATGGGTACACGCATTTCTTTCATGTCTGGGGCCCTTCCTTTGTGGAATTCCCCCTGCTCATGTCAGGGTTCCACCATGAGTCATTTAAATAAAGAAAAGCACTTTCCTCCCTCTCCTCTGCTAGCCACCTGCAACTGCTGTGCCCTGTTGCTCAGCCAGAGAGGCTGCTCACAGCTGTTGTGCTACAGCTCTTCTGTTTCCCAACTGCAGGGCTGAGCTCGCTGAGGCCCGAGGAGCCCACAGCCTTACCTGGTCCCAGGTATCTGGGTTGGCTGGCAGCAGGCACCAAACTGTAGTACTGGGGTAGGGTAGATCTGCTATTCACTGTCAGAGGTGATGGGTGCTCCATCTGCCCCTAAATCAGCATGGAGATTGGAAAGCGGAGCCAAAGTGTGCTGACATATATTGCTGCAATGAGATAATTTGTTTCTGCTTCTCCTTCTCCGCTGTCTTACAGCTTTGGTCGTCAGGCTGTGACCCGAAACTCTTTTGAAAAGCCTTGTCAGTCTGTGCTGTCATTTGGTTTGTCTCCCGAAGAGGACTTTGTTCCCTGATAACAGATAGCACTGACAGTTCTGAGCTGTTGCAGTCACTCACTCCTCCCAGCACACCAACCACTTCAGCTTGGTCCTCTGCCCTCCATCCAGGCCCTGCAAGCTCCACAGCTTTGTCTGCTGCCTAGAGGGATGGTGTTATTTCATTCCTTCCTCATGAGGCCGTTCCCTTGAGCATCAGATATGTAGAAGCCACTTCCTAGAAGCAAGTGTCTAGTTTGTGCTTGCTGACTCTTTAATTTCCTGAAAATCATTAGTGCTCAGACTGTTCACCTTGCCAAGGGAACTCCTTCCCCATGGGACTAACTGCAGAGTAAGTGTCTGCTGTTCCTGCTCAGCTCTCAGGCTACTGATGGTGGGCTGGTGGAAGGGAAGTGTGTAGGCACATAGCTGGTGTAAGAGCCTCTCCCCCTCACAGGGACTGCCCTTGGGCATGGTGGTAACAGCCACGCTGCCTCAGAGTGGAGAGGGTGAGGGCTACCCACCCCTGTGGAAGCCACCTGCCATTTCACTAACGCATCTTCTTTCCCAAAGGGACCCTTCCTGCTGTTGAGCCATTCCGGAAAGGGCTGACCGACCTGATGGGTGTTTGTCAACATGTGCTCAACACCTTTGAGGTGAGACTATCCCTGAAGAGCTCAGGGGCCTTTTCTATCTCTTGGTCTCAGAGGGGAGAGGAATGGGCTGAGACCTGTGTTGTAGGCACTTTTCACATGACAAAAACTGGTAGTTTTTTCAGACATTCTCTGCCTGACCTGCAGCATGGCCTGGTTTGCTTTCCCTTGGAGTGACTCTAAAGCTCAGTCACTTCTGAAAGTACCTGGAGCTCTGTCAGAGCTTCTTGGGTCCCTCAGCCTTCCCAGGCACTGGACAGAGGAGTCACAGCAGAGACCAGGGTGGTGGGACTGTGCTGTATGAGTCCCTCAGATGTATGCTGTTAACATTTGTCCTTTACTCTTCTTTGCAGAGGAGCATGAAGGAATACAGGGCCCAGAGGGAGGAAGAGATGCAGTAGCATTTGGGGATGGCAGTCCCTGTGGATGTGTGTAACATCTGTGTGTTGAATTCCCTGTGTCAAGCGTTTTTGTTTGGTTGTTTTTTTTACAGCCACATTGATGCAAACCTGTATTTTCTTTAATAATAAAGTTTATGAAGTTTGATGCCACAGGGGTGACGCTGCGTTCAACTCTGCACAGGTGTGGAAAATGATAGCTAGAAGGCAGCTCTTTCACTCTTCCATCTTATTTCTTTCCCTTTCCCAAGTGTCGTTGCTTTTCCTGCCCAGGATTTTCAGATCCCAGAGTATGCAGGTAGTCTGGTGCACAGAATTAGTCTGCCCCGGAGTAGACAGTGAGCAAGGCGGTTCAGTGCTGTGTAAAACCAAGCTTTTAGAGAGGCAGCGCCCTCTCCTAATTTAAATCTTTCTGTTACTGACACCATTGCAGTTGACTTCAACAGATACAGCCAGCCTTCCTTTTTAGACAGATCGTTATAAAATGATACTCTGCTCATTTGAGGGGTGAGATGAGTGAAAAACCACTTGCCTTTTTTAACCTTCTGAAGAATGCAGACAAAGGCAAGCCCAGACCACTTCTCATGAGCAGGTTTAAAGGATACGACACTGAAACCCTGGCCTTGCTTGGATCTGCTGGCAGCTAGCCAAGTGAAAGCCTTTTGTTGAGCGTAATGTGGCATGAAATTGCAGGGGTTTTCCTGCTCTGTGCCGGGTGTAGGACTGTGAACCTTTCCAGTTTGCTCTGCATAGGGGGGACACGGCTTGTCTCTTCAGTGGAGGTCTGCAGTTACCAAAGGAACCTGCTGACACTCAATTAAGTATTTAGCAGACTTTGCAGACCCCCTGCTGCTTAATAAGAAACACCCAGAGATTTTCCTTTCAAACACCAACATGTTTTATTAACATACAGAGGAATAAGAGGGAAGATGTAAAATGTCAGGTTTTCTCTATAAAATCACTCTTTCAAATACAAATTGACGGACTTGGTCTCTCTGACAGGCAGGCAGTGGGTTTTTGTTCACAGGCGTTAGGCCAAGGAGCCAGCTGAACCCTTCATTTCGTAATAAGGCTCCTTTGCTTCGCAGTTTGCTGCAGTGGATTCATCCTGCCCGTGCTAACATGGTCCCGCATCTATAGCGGGTAGCTGCTGTTGCTTTCCTTTTGGCTAATGCTATCTGACCTGGTTTCTTCGTGCTGAAACCTGTGGGTGGTTAAAGCATGCTTTCACATAGGGCTTGGGACGCAGCGGGGGTGTGTGGGGAAGAGGGGATGTGCCTGATGGGTGCTGGTGAGTGTTTCACCCTGCTGCGTAGGAGCAAACACAGGCCTGGGGACTTTCTTGTTGGAGAATTCCCCCGCCCAAGCAAGAGGGAGACGTAAAAAAGCAGGAAAGCAGTTTCCCCGGGACAGGGGGGGAGAGGGTGAAGGAGTGAATAAACCAGGAGCTGACTAATGCTAGGCTAGGCTCGCTCTCAGCCCAGGTGTTACGGAGAACGGCTTTTTAAAAAGGTCTTGAAACCTGGCTGGTCATTGACCTGCTGGTCACTTCTTTCAGCACTCAGGGCATGCTATGAGAGGCAGCGGGCTGAGCTGAGCTGAGCTGAGCTGAGCTGAGCGGACCACTTTGTTCCTCAGCCCCCTCTGCCTGGGGAAGCAAGGGAAGGATGTGCGTGCCTGTAACTGTACAGCTCTCCCCTGTGAAGGGCAGTAGGAGCTGGTGGCAGGGAGCCGTCTTTGCATTTCCACAAGCAGCTAAAACCAGGCTGCATGTGCACTCCTTTTCTGATAGTCATTGCTTTTGAGCTTGCTGGTCCTAGTCTTGGTTGTAGCCTAAGGGAGACCTTCTAGGGATGGGAAAGTGCCATTTGGGTGCCAGTGCAATAGAAGAGCTTTAAAAGGAGTACTTTTTCTTGCTGATATCTCTGCTCTCTTCTCCTCTCTCTCCTCTCTCACACTTGGTCAAACTTTTATGATGTTGGTTTTAACAGAAGATGTCTGGGAGGAAAACACAAGGAGAAAGCTGTAGCAAAGGAGGGTGAAGTCGCTGTTAAACAGACATGCAGCAGGTGATGGCAATGTCCAGAGCTGGGATGAATTCATGTCAGTATGTTTGTTGCAATATTTATAACGTACAGATCTGAGACTGATTTTGAACCATTTAAGGCTAAAGTGTTGATCTGAGCATAGCTGCTAATGCAGGAGTGATTAAATCTGCTCTTGGAGCATAAAAAGAGACATTAGGCACTTGGGGCCCAGGAGGTTAACTAAGGTAAAAGGATTCCCCTGTGTGCCTGTAATTGGTGTCTGTCTTGTGAATATTAGCAGGTCCTGGCTGTTCTGCCTGCCCTTAGGAGAGGTTCGTGGCTCTTCAGCGTTTGGGATGCTGCTCCTTATGGCATTACCAAAGGTCACTGCTGGGAAATCGTCAAGATGCTTCAATCTTCACTGAAATGAATGGGAGCTGTGCATTTAAATATGCTAGTTCCCATGCAGTGTGCACGTAAAAGTCAGAACAACGCTTGGTCAGCTGCTGGTGGGCACTAAACTGCGTGACTGCATGCTTTGCTCTTGTTTTAACATGGTAAGGCTGACTTTTACCAGTTGGGACCGACTTTATTTTGCAGCAAGGAAGATGGTAACAGCCAGGGACAGGCCTACAGCTTTAGACTCCTAAGCTTCTTTCTTTCTTTGCTATTGCACCTTTTTGGCACTTGTGGCTTCTCTACCAGGACGACACGCAGAACTTGATGCTCTCTCCTGCTTCTTTGAGGCACTGAGTGCATATTAGCTGGCTCCTGTGTCCCCAAAGTATTTCAGTCCTCTAGAGAACAGCATCTCCCTCCCCCATGTCCTGGTACAATGAGCTGGTGTCCACATCCCTCCTGGGTCTTGAAAGATCTTGTTTCTAAAGAAAGCTGGTTCTCCTGATCCTCTGCCCAAGGGATCCTGTCTGCTAACAACTCCGGTTCATTTGACGTTATTTCTTCTTAATTAAGGGCAGCCCTGTGACTGACTTTTCAGGGTCAGGTTGGAACAAACCACCTGAAAACTGGCACCTGGGCTAGCAGAGGGGCAATCTATGTGCCAGGAGGGCAAAGGTGGACAAGACAGCAATGTGTGCATGCTCGTCCTCAGCTTGTCTCCAGTGCTGATTTGGGGCTGAAGCTGGCCCTGCTTAGTGCATCTATTGGCTTTGAATTACCTACTGTGACCCAGACTTACCAGCTTTACCCGACAGATCTCCAGGTCTGACCCACAGCATCCTCTGCTCGCTAGAGTTGTTGGCCTTGCCCAGGTTGTCCAGGCTATAAGAGCACTGACCCAAATCAATCCCCAGCAAGCAAGTCCCCTGCTTACAGGGTGTTTCTCACTGATGTGACTCTCATGGTGGGCTCCCCACGAGCCAGGCCTACGCCCCAGGCCTGTGCAATGCAATGAGGGCCCCAGGAGAGAAAGATGTTGGCTCAGCCAGTGACCAAAGCACCAGCCATTTCGGGTGAGTGGGAGGGAAACTGTAGCCGTAGGGTCAGAGCATCCCAGTTAGCCGTTATCATCCTAAATACTGCCTGCTGTGGGACTTGTTTCCCTGACAAGTGACCTAACGCCTCCATGGGCCTCCCTGTTGTGGGGCCCAAGACGCAGACCCTTGTTTGAAGTGGTAAGAGGTTTGTAATTAGTGGAAAACTCCCTGTGATGCAGATGAAAAGGTCAGCATGTCCTGTCTGTCTCTTCCCACCCTCCCTTCCAGCCACCAGCACTGTGCAGCTGCCCTGGCACCTCCTGAGCAGGCTAGACCCAGAGCTGGGGTGAGTCCATGAATTTTAGGGATTACCAGCAGAGCTGCAAGGGTGGAGATGTTAACCTGGAGGAAATCACTCCGTAGCGGCTGCTTGCAGCCTAGCAGGGCAGGCCTTGGTGCATAGGAGAGGGCTGGCCTCATCCCGGCAGGAGACACCGAGGAGCTGGGCCATCTGGAACTGAATTTGCCACGATTTGGGGTCGGGCAGAATGTGAGCGAGACATTGCATTAGGCTTGGTGTGCCCCTGGCTTATCCACTGCTATGTGCTGGGAGTGGTATGAGGGGTTGATTTGAAGTCCCAGAATCCATTTGCCTGTAAATGTGGACAAATACAGAAATATATACAATTCAGATTTTGTTTTATAAGCACAATCATTAAAAAATATCCTTCCACTAAGATGTCTGTGCTGGAATATTTCAGTCTTTATCAGTTTTCTCCATTGACTTCGTTTGTCCACCAACAAAATGCAGCCAGCTCTAGGGCAGAGCACTGCAGCGGCACTGCAGAATTGGTACGGACAGATCTACTCTGGTGGGTAGGTGAGTTTGTAGAAAATGTGCGGGTATAGATATTCCCCAGTCTTTCTGTTTTCATTGAAACCCGTTTGTATTTCAGAAATGTGATTTCTTTGTAAAATATTTGCATTTCAGTGAAAGCTAAGCTAAAAAAATCCCAACACCTGGAAAATATTTTGCTTTATTTGCAGGTCTTTTCTCCCTTTTACCGCTCTGTTTTTTCCATTACAAGGTGAAAAGGGGAAAGAAGAGAGAGAGGTAAAAGAGAGAAGAAAAAAACAACAGAAAAATCATAAAAAACTTGGTAACTAAAACTTTCTCATACAAGTTTTCTTAAAGTTTTGGCAAGAGATGCAAGCCTGATTTTGTAGAAGAACATGCTGGAAAAGCACTCGGGAATTAATTATTTTAAATAGTGGATTTGTGAAAGCTCTTTGCCATGTTTTGGTTAGCCTCAGCGGCTCTTTCAGCTGAGACCGGACCTTCCCTGTCGCCTGTTCCACCTTAGTCTGACCATGAGGATGAGCACCTCTGTCCCCCACTACAGGTGTCAAAATGCAGGGCACCCCTTTTTTCCCCTTCAGAGCTGTGGTCTTGCAGGCGATCCCTCTCCCAGGAGCCGGTGGCTGAAGGAGGCTGTGGACTCTCCAGCGGCTGAAGACCGCAGATCATAGCTGGATGCTT